AAAGCTTTTACGCCTCACGCATAAGTGTATTTTTGCCACTGAACTCTTTCATCTCGTTTTTTCTTCCCTTCCTTGCTCTGCTTCGCATTTGCTCCTCTGCCAACACTTCATTTTCAATTGTGCTCAAAAGCTCAAGAGCCAATCAATTCCCAGTGACACGAGCTGCATTTCTCACATTCCTATTCGTCTCAACGGAGAGCTGTGCGGCAAATGGTGAGTATTTGTATGCTCTTTAATATACTCGTATTACACACAGTGTATTATGAGAGCTTTTGCTTTAATAATTATTTTAAGAAATGATTTCCACACAAGATTATCAAATAGCTCTTGCCTTTTAGAGCATTACCTGTACACATTAGCGTACATGTTTTTTTCTTGTTTTCTCGATGCCAAATCGAAGTTCAGACCAAAACAGATGGCTGGAATCTATTAAAGCTGCGCATTACATGCAAAACAACTTAGAGCAAACCGGTAAGCTCAACGTGGCCCGCCCACCTACAAAAAAGAAAACAAATTGGAAGAACGAGAAAAAATAAACCTCCATGCGGAGATTAATTTGATTAGCAGGCGGAAATCAACAGACGCAATACAAAGACTAAAAGCTAGCCAAGAATCAAACTCATGGCCCACACGTAGTGCTTAGTCGAGCACTTACAACCGGAGCACTGATTGGCCGACTGATTGATTGATTGATTGATGATGTGCGCCCTAATTCAAATTTACACAAGTGCGCAGTCAAAGTCATTTGCTGTGCTACTCATCGAAGGCCCGACGATTGCAAATAGTCGCAGGTGATAAAGCAAAGATAGTCTTCTAATCAAGTGGATGATAACAGGACGACCGATAATGCACAACAAGTGCTACACTGAAAGCATGAGCAGTGGCTTAGTTGATGTCAAGCTCAAGTAAAGTTAAGCAACAATTCAAATTGATAATCAATACAATCAATTATATACTTTAAATTACAGTTATGTCAACGTTTGCAATACTGATACAATCTAAAGTAAGCCTAAAGAAAGTTAAACAAGACTCAAATTTGGAAGTCAAAACAATAAATGTTCTGTTTCGTATGCCATCTTCTCTCAGTGTATCCCTCATCCCCCTCTATGAGCACATAAAATGTGAAAATAATGCTCGTTCAACAGATATTTGTCTTTGATTTGAAAATAGCCTCTCATAAAGTTGTTAACCAAACAAATGGGGCTCAACACAGCTGGGCTGCTGGTGAATTGCAAATATTTATGCGTTGATAGCACCTTTCGCACTTTCTGAATTGAAGCACATATTCAATAAATAATTCCGCAAATTGCGTGTGAGCATTATGAATTGCTGTTTATGGCAGTTGTAAGTGTTTCGGCCAACAAAGGCGATAAGATACTCACGTCTGACAAGTACATAAAAATAAATTCTTTTAAATATCTATATAAGTATATACGCCCTAGCCGATGTATTTGACGGAAATCCATCATGCGACGATTATTTTCAGTGTTCACACACGCGACTCGGCTGATTACATAATTTACAATTTGAGTTTATGTGTTTTCTAACTCGTTTAAGAAGCGAAAAATATAGATTAGAATAGAACTCGGCTTTTTTGTATTACAATACCTAAGATCTCTCTTGACTTCAAAAACACTCATTCTAGCTCGTCCTATTGCCGTCTTAATCATTTTCCCCACCTTGACTAGACCTAATGATTTTGCATAGTTTCTGAATCAAATTCCAAAAACTGTTTAATTTTGAAGCCTTGAAAAAGGCTGTGTGACAGGCTATTTACCTCAGATGTTATCTACAATATGATGTCAAGTATCAAGAATCTTATCTGATTCATAAATTGACTTATCTTTTTGAGCTTATTACAAATGTATCGGAGAAATTCCAACCCACTGATTCATAAGTGTTAGCAGACTATTGACCTTCCTATGTCGCAAATAGAAACTGTTGGCAACTAAATGGGGCTTCAAGTGAAAAGTTCCAATTCGACAACTTGGCCAATCTCACGTTCGCTCTGTAGCTAGTCTTTTGGCCATGTCATGACTTGAGCCACACTCACGACACTCACGCTTCTCATATGTGTGATTGGCAGCCATGTGGCTGGACACCCACATGCCGTTATGCAAAACTAGCGCTTGGTTCCCAGCAAACAGCTCAGCTCAGCTCTGCAATGCACTTGACACAGACACCCCAAAAAAAAAATCGAAAACCCCCCGCATACCCTGCTTAAAAAGCAAACAAATGCGACGCCCGCTTCGAATTGTGTATGTCACAAGCTGTCGTTGACGTTGCCGTTCTTGTTGCTGTTGTTGTCGTTGTTTTATTGAGTGAACCCGGTCCATGCAATTAGCTGGAGGTCGTTTGTTCAGCCAACATGTCCGTTGTTGATGTTGAATTGGGTGCGGAGCGATCCCAACCGACAGACAGTCGACGACTCGACAACGTTTTGGCCACAATTTGTTAAACAAATTGTTATTAAACTATTCGAAGCTTGCCAATTGATTGTCCATTGTGTCAAGTTAATTGCAAATCACAGGCCTAACTATAGCCAAAAAAAAAGGAAGAAAAAAATAAATGAAAACTGCATCACGCTTGTTCCTGGCCCTTTTCCAAACTGGTTTCTTTTTGATTGACTAGATTTTCTTTTTCCTTTTTTTTTGTTTTTGTTTTTGTTTTGTTTTTGTTTTGGGACAGACTGTCATTCAATTGTCAATATCTGCGCGGCTCGATCGGTGATCGTCACGACTTGCTGCCTTTTAGCTGTCTCGCGCGCAGTCGGAAATTGCTTTTGCATTGAACTTCAATTGAAATTTGCGCGCTGCCAGTTTGCGAGCAACCTGGGCCTGGGCCACGGCCATGGGCGTGGCAGCTGGGGCACGTGGCAGCTGCGGGCTTCATATTTCAGAAGAAAGTTGAACTATATAATAAAATGAGTTTAATTAATTGATGGGGAAATGCATTTATCATAGACTTTCAGAATGTAAGAGTTATGGCCGAATTCTTGTATTGGTTCTAATAAACATGAATAGATGATGGCGAGCTTTTACATAAAACAATAGAGTACATATATATATAATATAATCTCATATATTTCCAACCAAGTAATCAGAGCTTTTATATCAAATATTCGACAATATGTTCAAGAAATGTTTGTGCTGCATTAAATTGCGCGTCGGCTGTGCCTTAATAGCCATGACCATGACTCTAATCTATGGCTCCTCTATGTTGGTAATGGCGCTTATTTTGAACAAAAAGGTGCCAGGTAAGCGTACGTCATATCCTTTATCTAAAAATATAGGATTTTAAGCTCTGTCTGTCTGACTTATAGATGCGCTAGCCAATCCGTATCTTGACGAAGACGTACAGATTCGTGTGCTCATAGCATCTGCAATTTTGATGCTAAGCAGCATCTTCTTAATCATTGGCGTTCTGTGTGTAAGAAACATAATCCCTAATCTGTAGATAATACATAGCTAGATCTGTGACTTTATGTCTATTTGTATGTGTGTGTTTGTGTGAATTGAAACAGCAATTTTTATTTGTATCTGCTTACGTTTGTGCATGTGTAAATGTATCTGAAAACATTTGTATATATATACATCTGTATCTATACCTTTATTTATATCTATTCTCATATTTGAGGCTGAAAAAGTATATGTTTGCTTAATATCTATAAATATTACATTTTTGTATATTTAATAATATCCATGACTATCACATAATACGTTCCTTTATTATATCTGTTATTGTTTTTGTGTATCTTTAACTTTAATATAATTAAATTGGTATGAGTATCTGAATAAGTATCTTTATCTGTAAATGTTTATATGTAATCTGTATATGCACCTGCTTCTCAGTTGTAACTTTATAGACATCTGTTTATTAACTTATATCTCAATTTCAATCTGCAGAAAATTCCATTTTTTCGCAATTCCCTGGCTGCTATTAGCTTGTACTCACATCGTTGCTAAGATAATAGCATGGCTTCTGTTTGTAATCCACTATGGGCATTTTTTCCTTATAGGTTTGCTCTTGTGCTCACTGGGTGAGTAACCCAACTCGATGTCTTAGTACATATTTGATGAAACAAATTTTTTCCCGTTGCAGTTGTATACATATATTTTTGGATCATTATACTATCATATGTTTTAGTTCTGTTCAACCGTTGATGTTTCCAATTTCAGTCCCTTACACTAATTCACTCAACTTTGCTCAGCATTCACAGTCAAACAAATATAGGTACGTTCAAAACATATATCTTAGCATTTTTCTTATGTTCATCTGAGGTGGAGTATGGCCGGCAAGTTATATTGTCACTGCGTGACCATGCGCACTTGCAGCTTATCCAGCGCAATATTCTTCATTTGTTTTTTCTTATGCGAAATGGGTTTCCTTGGCCAAAGAGGCATTTTCATCTGTAAGTGTACGCAATCCTCTGTATATATGTATATAAATATAGATTTTGTTTTCTATGCTACCCTTTCTAGATTCGAAGCCAGATTTCTGGGATTATGTGCAGGCGGGAATTTTAATGATCGGTATTATCACTTCAATTATATTGATCTTTGGTGTCTATAAGGTAAGGCATAACTTTATACCCATTTACAAAAATATATATGTAATAGTCGTAAGATGTTTTTTAATAACTGACTAATGTCAGCAAAAAGAATGCGCCTATCTTTTCTGGACAATCATTTTTTCGGGCATATTCGCATTATATTTATCAATGTTCATTATTGATTTGGTCACTTATAAATATTTAATTACGGGCGCGTTATTGCAACTGACTATAATATGTAAGTCGACTAAGTCAAAACTATATTTTCTATTGTTTTACTGTATTATTTCGTCTACTCCATTAGTTATTTTGGGAATATCGATTTTTGGCGTGTATACCGGCTACATTGAACTGAAATTAAATTCATAAATTCTTTACGTGTTTTTCCAAAATTTTCCTTCATTTTTATGTAAACTAATTGATGACATAAAATCCATACATTAGCCATTTAATATTTTTCGGAATCCAGTTGGCTTTTACAAAATTGTAATAGTATTCAGATGTGTTAATATTCATTGGAGAAAAAGGCACAGTCATTAACTATGTGTATTTACTAAACGATAATACTTGGATTTTCATTGCAAATATTTAAAGTTTCTTTCAAAATTAAGCGACGTTCGAGAACGCCTCAAGCGACAAAATACATTGATTAGTTTGCAATAAGATTCTAACCAGGATGGCTTGTCGCTGCAAGTACTTTATAAAAATACTGAACAAATGCTGCTTTTGCTTCTCGCTGCGCACAGGCACGTTACTCTTAGGTTGCATATTCCTGACCTGGTTCGTGTACCTATGTCTGGGCAGCGCCTTTATGATGGAGTGCATCTTCCCCAATGAATACCAGCGGGAGACATACGGACCTCCTGCAGCACCAAAGACTACCATGGTCTTCTCGTTCTTCGGCATCGCTGCATCAGCAATGGTCTGCATTGGCGTGCACAACGTGAGTATTTATTAATTGGGATAGCAGCTATATTTTGATTTTGGCTTTGGTTAGACGATCTGGATATATTATTTTACACTCGATACTCGTAGGCCAATTCTATTTGATTCCTTCTTCTTTTACAGAATAACGAGCTGATGTTCGTACCGTTTTTGGTGCTAGCTCCGATCTACATTTTTGTACACATACTGGCTATGATTGTCTATAGCTTTGTCTGGGTCATAGTTATTCTCTTCATCATCACAATAGGTAAGAACTCTTATCGTCGTCTCCGACTGCTAACTGATACCCATCTAAATTCAAACTAATTTTCGCAGTTGTATTAATCTATGCATGGATTATCATATATTCCTACTTCTCGGAACTGCGCTATGCCTACGATGATGAACTGCCCCATACGTACATCTGAACATTAAATAACTAAATTCTTCCGTTGGAGCTGTTTTTTTTTCCTTTTGATATAGTTGCTATAATACAAATTACGTATGTGAAATATCAGAATTGTCTGTAATTAATTAAACTGAGTCGCGAAGCAGATATATTACAATAGTTTTCGTTTTCTCGATATTTTTGATGAGATGCGAGTACGACGGGTTATTGGATAATTCTATTGGCAAATGGGAACAGTACTTATTGGGGAAGTTGTCGGCAATACATTGACGGGTTTTCTTTCACAACTTTCTATTTACATGACTTTCTGGCTGTCATGCTTGATGCGTCGCATGCGGGTTGATCAGGTTGTCTATAACTTGGGGGAGAGTGGAAGAAGCATGAACTTACCTTTGGTAAAGAGGCCAGCACCTGCTGCTTGACATCCCAGACGAGTCGCTCCGATGGGAACTGCAGACACTTGTAGACATTCAGCTCCGGCACATGGATGCGCACCAGTAGCCAGCCATCCCGTGGCTCCGGCGGCGGCTCATCGTCAAACGCACCCGGCCCGGACGTGCTGTCCATATTGGCCGGGTTCTGTTTGACTTTGGGCGTGGGTGGGTGATACGTCGTAATTTTGACGGCTTTTCGCGCACAGCGTCACAGTGAAAAAAAAATACTTGGCTCAAGGCAAGTTTTTCGGTTTTTTGTTTATTCTTTTGTCAGATTAATTTTATTTGCAGTTCGAATTTTTTGTTGATATCTCGAAAATGTTATCAATTGAACATTTATTTGATTGAGCTGCCCGCTGCCATCAACTGAAAATCGTTTCGCGTGGACACTTCCTTATGGCCCTTCCGTTCACTTGACAGCCTACCAGTTGGAATGTACATCATGCTGTAGAGAGAGGATGAGAAATAGTTGGATAAGAGCATTGCTAATTTTCTTAAAGATATGAAGCTAATGAAGTATAAATTCTTATTTTTGTAAATTTGGTTCAATTCAATGGGACTATTTTTCTCTAAGTGTAGCAACTCTTAGAGCCGAGTCTGTGTCTGTTTTGACTGCTTAAGTAACCACACAAGACGTCAAATGCGTTGTCACACAGCATTCGTTTGACGTAAAAAAACTTAATTTGTAAATTGGTTTACTTTTTTCAGACCTCTTGCTCAGCGCCTCTCCCCCGCTTTGGGCAGTCAGGCGGTCTGTCAATCGGTCGCTGTCATTGTGTCAGTCGTACAAACACTTCCCCGAAAGCCCCATAAATTGCCAAGGCGGGCAAAAAGCTGGCACATTCAACATTCCCAGTCGTTGCTGCTGCTGCTGCAGATTACTCTCTGATATTGACATTTTATGGCGGCAGCAGTTGCAGTTGCTGCAATTATGCACAAATTAAATTCACACGCTAACCTCAAGAGCGAGAAAAACTGGAAGGCTATTTTTTTATTAATGGCAGCAGCTTGAAAATGTGTGCCAATTCGCAAAGAGAGGGGCATTTTTATAACAGTGTTATAATAATTGGCTTCAAGTTTAGTAGATGGATACTTTACTGAAAAAGTTGCGGGCGACATCTTTGACTGGAACGAAAAGTCAAAAGTCTGCAATCAGTATAAATTTATCTGATTGACTGACTGATGGTCAGTACCCAATTCTTAGAAGTCTAAAATCCAGCTATTAATAGTGCTTTGTTTACTATGCTTTCTTTATATTAGCTATGCAAACAGTACAAAAGAAGTGTAATTAGAAGTCTGCTTCTATACAAATCTCTACAGCTAAATTATTAGCTCTTAGAACTCTTAAGAAGTCAAATAGAACATTTAATTATCTGACTCATAAATCGTTAAATTGCGCCCAAGTTTTTCAGATAGTTTCAGTCGACCTATTTCTAAACCAGAAATAAGTAATGTTCAAGAACCTTCAAGTAGAAAGCTAATTTGAAAGTGAACCGAGTTATTTGTTAAGTAGTAGGAAGCGCACATACACACACACGAGCAGACACAGACTTCTAGCTAGTTCAGTGCACCCACAAAAAAAAAACTCGACAGTTGAAAAGATGTCACGGTCAAGAAACTGCGTACACTTTGCCGAAATACATAAATTAAATATATTTAAACAAGTGGACTGAAAACAAAAGTCGCTCACCTTGGCCACCCACCTGTCAATCAAAAACAACACAAAAAACCAAGTGAAAATTATCAATAGCTCAACAATTTCAAAGTCTTGGACGTAGCTATCAAACATGTCCAAGGCAAAGGCAAAGGCAAAGGCAAAGGCAATTGATATGCCTAATGAGCTAGCATTAAGGGGCAGTCACGACTCTTTTTCTCTCTCGCTCTGATAAACTGATAAGAGTTTTGGGGCGCCAAGTTTTAATTAGCAGCACTTGTCACATCGCGCATTACGCATGCCACGTGGACACAAGTCGTTCAACTTAATTAAAAAAGCAGGCAGTACAGTAGGACAGTATCTATGCAATAATCTTTTTATGTGGGCCAAGTATCTTATCAGCCGCAGCATTAGATGTAAAGGAAGCTGAAATTTGATTACACATAGATATAAATAAAATTCTATACAAGATCCAATTCTGGGAAATATTGGATTATCATTTATATTTACTTAACTCCTATTTCCGTGGCTAAGCACATGGCTACATTGCCCATCGACTGTAGTTACAAGCGCATTTAAAGTTTGACAAAGAAAACTGCCCTCTCTATCTATATATGTCTTTCTCTTTTTCTTTTGTTTCTCTGTTAAGCCAAATTGAATTGAATTTCAGACAAAAATCTTTGGGTTTAGCGCAAAGTTTAATGCTGACAGTTGCTGCACTTTTTATGGCCAATCGCTTTTAATTGGAAAAGTTGCTAACCCCACGTTTGCTTTTCCCACCCACAACTACCTCCGACTCACCGTCTATCAGCGTCAACTATCTGTCCAACTTAGCCAATACATTTTTTTAATCGCAATTTAAAAAGCGCTGTGCTGATTTATTAATAGCGCAGAGCAGCAACAACTCAATTATCGCAATTATGGTGCGAACCGCCACACCAACAAACACTGCAACAACAACAACAAATAGCAACAAATAACAACAATTGCACATTATGGCAATTTCCATGACAACTAAGTGCTGCGATTTTTCACTTAAAGCGCATAATTTTGCACAAATCCATTTCGGCTTGGATCCCCTTTTCTATGTTGACTTTGATTGAAAAATTATGTTTGACCTTTGCGCTTTGACATGCGCGCAAATCTAAATTTATGTTTGCTCTGCTTGGCCCGCTTTGCCTCGAAGCGCTGGTCATTTCGCCCCAATTGTTTTGCTTGTACCTGACAGCTGTCAGTTAGTTATGTATGTTTCGACCGCCAGGTGGCGCAACAGCCAATTCTCGCCCTCATCCCCCAAAACAACTGACAGTTATTTGCTTTTCACGCCTGACAAGTTGCATTTGTGGCATTGAGGCATTTCCAATTCCTGATTTTGCGAAACTGTAAGCCCTATACAAACCCACACAGTTTCGACAGGTAAAAAAGTCATCGACTACAAAATACCTTGTTCGCTTGTCCTGCTAACTTTTGGCTTTGGGTTAACGAACTAAGAGAAAAGCAATTCTAATTCTTCTGAGAGACGGCGTATTTGGCAAAAAACATTTCCTGCAGTGTTATCCAAGTGCACAATCATGTTGAATCATCTTCAATATTTATAGCATCTAAAGTTTGTTCCGTATCAAGTGACTTTGTTCATACAAGTCTTACATACATAATCCACACTTATGGACCAGACTTTACAACTGAGTTGGAAAAGTTAGAGCCAGGTTGTAAAACACGCTAAGCTCTTAAATTTTAGACAACCCCAACGCCCACTTGAGCCGCATCTGAGCTGTGACTGCACTCAAGTGCTCCCGCTTGTCGCACAGTTCAGCTTAAGTATTTGTGACACTTTCTGACAGCCAACGAAATTTGGCAAAAAGTCTAAAGAACAAAGTCTGAAGAGTGCCTTGCCCTAGCCTAATGCCCCACACAAAATGCAGCTGCGCCAGAGTTCGTGGCACACTCGAAAGACACTCAGCGGAAATTATGCCACATCGAATGGATTTTTATGGAAATTAGTTCCCTGACTGAGTGACTGACTGATGGACTGATGGATTGATGGACTGACATCAGCCCAAGGGGCTCAGTCTGATTTCTGGGTCAATGTGCAACTAAATGTCACGAGTGTGTGGCACAGTACAGATGCACAGCGCATGCATATTTTAAATTGCGTACAGCTTTAAAGCAAATTACTTTTGTCATTTTAATGACGATGCTTTAAATGAGGCTGAGTCTGCCACTGCTGTTGCTGCTGCTGCTGCTGCTGTAGGGGTTGGCTACCAATCTTCTCGGATGTTGCGCATTGTTTGCCTTGGCAACGCGGCACCAAATTGCCAACAAATAACTGCAACAAGGCAGCCACGCCCATCCTCCCCCGACTTAATAAATGCACAGCCATTTTTGTCGGCTAGTTGCACAGTGGGACAAGAATAGGAATGCTAAGAATCTGTTTTGAGCTCAGTTATCTTAGCTTCTTATACACTGACCTTAGATTATCTTCCCTGGATTTCGCAGTTTCAATATAAATGTTTAAAATTCGAGGCTGCCTTACAATTACTTTAACTCAGGTAGTTTCAATTAAACAGCACCAGCTCTGCTACAGAGCACTATCTTATCTATAGTAGGAGTAACGGACTTTCGACACCAGACAACATTGAGCTGTATCTGTAACGCTGAACTTTGACTCGGACGATGCCGCAGACTAGAGTAAGAAATATTGCACTTTGGTCATATTTCCCCACTGTTCAGTTTGTTGCTTTGCAAATCGAATCGCCATTTTGTTTACGCGAGCATTCTGTGGTGCACTGCTGTGCGCACCGGAAACGGAAATGCGCACATAATTCTGTTAGAAAACGTGGAGCAGGCCACTAAGGAGCGACCGACTGCGCTCGCCGTTTCTCATCTGGAATTCGAGAAACGCGCACACTTTAATTAAATAATATTAAATGCAATTTCGCTTTGAGCCTTTCAACTGCGCAGCAACTGGAAACTCGGATTGGATTTTGTGCTGTAAACACAGCAAAACATGTCGCTCAAGTTTATGGCAATGTCAAAGTTTCTTGGCTAATTTATTTCACTATTTTTTGTATTTTCATTCAAGGCAGCTGCCAAAGAGAAGAGGAAACAACGACAACAGCAGCAGCAGCAACAGCAGCAAAACAAATCTTAAGAAATACAAAAAAGAACCCAAAACTTGTTTTCCAGTCACGTTCATTTTCAATCAAGTGGCATCATTATATGCCCAACAAACTGCAGACAGAGCTGGAGAGCAAGCGAGTCTGAGAGAGAGAATGAAACTAATACAATAAGAAAATTAACTCTGACCCATGCGGTTAGCCAAGCTAGCGGCCACACATATGTGGCCCCGACGCTAGTTGCCCTTAACCCTTCTGACTGTCGGTCCGAATTCCCTCGAGCTGAATTCTTTGTCTAGCTGCCTGCGGGGAATACCTAAATTATTTTTGGATTGATTACAGTTTAGTTGATGGCAGGAACCACAGCAAATTACACTAAACTTGAGTACCAAAACCGCGCTCGACTTCCTCCTTTGCTTGCCTCAAACACAGGCAAATTCCGTAGAAACAAAAAACTCTCTTTTGCCACTGACAACTCGGGCGGACATCAATTGATTGAAATTGTTTGATTGTTGTTTCGGCTGTTTCGAAAAAGAGCATTCAAAAAGTTTGGACATGAAAGCTAACTTTTTTATAGGTAGAAACGCATTTGCAAAAAAATGTAAACCAATAAACCACATGCGCTGTGGTGTTTTAACAACAATTTTAGAAAATAAACTACACCATAAAATTTAGGTTTTAATTTATTTTTTTTTATTTTCATTCCCACCGATTTTGAA